CCATGTTTGGTTCCTTTACCAAGGATAAGGTTGCTGAATGTCTTTGTAGTTGCATCTGCACCTTCTATTCTAGTCCACTAGTCCACTGATACTTAGGACTGGTTTTTTTGCTGCTTTTCTTATTTTTTTTTAATTTTTATTTTATTTTTTGTTTGTTTTTTGCCAGTATCGTACTGATTTTATCACAGTACCTTTGCAGTATGATTTCAGGTCAGGATCGTGATGTCCCCTTATTTGTGTTCGTTCCCCAGAACTGCCTTTGTTATTCTAGGTCTCCTGTGTTTCCAAATGAATTTTAAGAGTGTTTTCTCTAGATCTGTGAGGTATGTCAATGGTATTTTGATTGGGATTGCATTAAATCTGTATAGCCACTTTGGAGATATGGCCATTCACTATGTTGGTTCTTCCTACTCATGAGCATCTGTTGAGATGATCATGTGATGTTTTCTTTGTCCTGTTAATATGGTATATTACATTTATTGATTTCTGTATCTTAAAGAATCTTTGCATTCTTGGGATGACTCCTAATTGGTCATAATGTACAATCTGCTTGATGATTTGCTGCATTCTATTTACCCATATCTTATTAAGAATTTTTGCAGTTACGTTCATTAGAGAGATTGGCTTGCAGTTTTCTTTTTTTGGTTGAGAATTTCTCTAGTGTTGTAATCAGTGTAATACTTACTTCCATGAATTATTTTGGAAGTACTCCTTCCCTTTCAGTTTCTTTAAAGAATTTCATCATTAGTGTCATTAGTTAGTCTCTAAATTTCTCATACATAGACTCTATTAATGCCTAGGCTTTTCTTTGTTAGTAAATTTTTAATTACATTTTCAATTTCATTGGCTGACACTAGATTATTTAGAATTTTTATATCTTCTTAATTTGGTTCTCATAATTCAGTTTTTCCTAGGAATCTGTCCATTCTTCTGTGTTTTACATCTTATTAGAATATAAGTTCTCATAGTAGGTATTACAACCTCCTGGATTTCTGTGGCTACATTGTAATTTCCCATTTCATTACAAATTTCTTCAATTTGGGTTTTCCTTTTCTTCTTTTTGATGAAGTTGGCTGATAGTTTATCAATTTTATTTATTCTTTCAAAGTATCAACTTTTTGATTCATGTATTCTTTGTATTTTCTTAGTCTCTATTGTATTTCTCTGTCTGTCTGTCTCTGTCTCTGTCTCTGTCTCTGTCTCTGTCTCTGTCTCTCTCTCTCTCTCTCTCTCTCTCTCTTTCACACTCAGAACTGAACTTTGGTTTCTAGGCAGATGTTTTGCCACTGAGCTATATCCCTGGCCCTTCTATGGCATTAATTTGTTTTCATTATTTCCTCTCATATGATCTTTGGGTTTGATTTGTTCTTCTTTTTCTAGAAGATTGAGGTTCAGTATTATGTTGTTTATTTAAACTCATTCTGTTTTCCTCATGTGTGAGTTCATCACTATAACTTTTGTTCCCTAGGATTGCTTTCATTGGCCCCTAAGTTTCAGTATGTTTGTGTTGGCATTATTAATTGTATATAAGTTTAATTCCATCTTTAATTTCTTCTGTGACCTGCTTTTTGTTCAGAAGGGTGCTGTTTAATTTCCACATGTTAATGTAGTTTTTGTGATTTTCTTCATTTTTGATTTCCAGTTTCATTGTGCTGTGGTCAGACAGTATGCATAGGATGATTTCATCATCTCTCATTTACTTAAACATGCTTTGTCAGGTAATATGTGGTCTATTTTAGAGAACGTCCCATGTGCATCTGAGAAGAGTGTGTATTCTGGTGTTTTGGGGTAGAACACTCTGTAGGAGATCTACCAAGTCCATTTGTTCACAGGCTTGGATTAATTCTAAGATTTCTTTGTTGATTTTTTGTGTAATTGATCTATTTGTGAGAGTAGGGTAGTAAAGTCACTCGCTATAATTGTATTAGTACTTATTTGGTTTTTCATGTATGTTAATATGTTTTATGTAGTTGGGTAAACCAGAATTTGGTGCATAAATATTTAAGATTTTTATGTCTTCTTGGAGTTTGTAATGACCTTCTTTCTTTTGTCCAGTTTTGGTTTAAAGTTTGCATTGTCTACAAACAGAATAACTATCCCTGCTTTTTTTTCTGGGTTCCTGTGACATGGTGGATTGCTTTTCATTCTTTGAGTTTTAGACTGTGAATTTCTTTTTGAGGTAAATGTGTTTCCTGAATGCAGCATATTGTTGAGTCTTGCTTCTTGGTCATTCTGCCAGTCTGCTTCTCTTTATTGGTGAATTGAGATCATTTCCATTGATGGTTATAGCTGATATGTATTGGCTTTTCTTTTCTGTGTTGTTTTTCTGTTGTTTGTTCCTTGTCTTTCTCCATGGTTTAATTGCTAGCTCTGCCTGGCAGCTTCTTTCTATTGGTGTTCATGTGTTTGCAATCTTCATTATCTCTTTCTAATATGTCCTTCAGAGCACTCCATTGAGATAGTTTGGTGGTCATAAATTTCTATAGTTGTTCTTTGTCATGGAAGTATCTTATTTCTCCATCAATTTTGAAAGATAGTTTTGTGGGATACATCAGTCTGGGTTGAAAATGATTTCCTTTAGGACTTGAAATGCCTCACTCCAAGCTTCCCTTGATTTGAGGGTTTGTATTGAGACATCTGCTGTGATTCTGATGGACCTCCCTTTATAAAAAATGTTTCTTTTCCCTAGGTGTTTTTAATATTTTGTTCTTGTGCTGAATTTCTGGAATCTTGATTATTATATGCATGGTATAGATTTATTTGGATCATAATGATTTACTTTAATACTTTTAGTAACTTTAACAAGACATGCCCCCGAAGAAATTATTTCTACAAATCTTTTGCATTATATTATGATCAATGTTTTTTCTAAGAAACTTAAATTTATATTTTTTCCTGAAAGACAATCTAAAATACTATTGAATTACTTATTTTTATGCTAATGAAGATGAAAGTTGACTGCTGTGAATTTTTAAAAATTATTTCATATAGGTTTCAAGTTAACTGTAGAATGGAGAACTGTTGAACATTTAACAGAGGGAAAATTGAAGTGTGTTACTAGTCAAGTATCTTATTAAAGTTCAAATATTAAAAAATGCAAAAACCAAAACTCAAATCTAGGTATGTCTAACTCCAGATTTCTGTGTTTGACAAACAGCTAATAATACAGCTAAAAATATTTCTTTAGAAGAGAATTATATAGGGCTGGGGATTTAGCTCAGCGGCATTAGTGCCTGCCTTGCAAGCAGGCAGTCGTGAGTTCGATCCCCGATACCAATAAAAAAGGACAAAGACAAAAAAAAAAAAAAAAAAAAGAAGAAGAAGAGAATTACATTTAAGATTAATGAAAGTTGATAGGTAATGTTATTTATCAAATAACATCCTAGACTATTGTTTCTTCTGTCAATTTTAATTGTTTTAATAGTAGGATACTTAAATATATAGGAGGCAAAAACATTGTTATTTCCAATACTGATTTTTTAAAAGTTGACATCTGTAATGGGTTATTAAACATCTCTGCACATGTGAATTCTTTAAACACCTGGAGCAAAATAGCATGTAATACTTTTCCATTTCTGTAGAAATACCCTCAAATCAAAAACCTTTTATTCTTAGTCAACAAACTTTGGAACATGACTAGACTACAGTGGTAAGAACTGTGCAAAAATTTTAATATATTTTTCTGTCATTTTCCAGATTTGACCTTTTTGCACATTTAAATGTCAGTGCATGGAAGTTTAAGCAATCATCTTGCACAGGGAATATTAACGATTCACATTTAAGTCTAATCTCTCAACTGGATGCTCCCACATAGCCATTTGGAACCTCTTTTCAGTCTCTCTAGAAAATATCCAGTTCATTAGATCTTTAATATTCACAATCTATTTTGACCCCAGTTTTCATTCTGCTATTCTTCTGCTAGTACAGAAAAAATGAGGATACTCTCAATACTGGACTATTATTGGTTCCATTTTCTTTGTCTCTGATTTTCTTTGTCTACTATAACACCAGGGTTAAATTTGTAACTATAATTTAAAACCATATAATACCTATTTATGTTTCTCCTAACTTCATCTTATTTTCCATATTTATTTTTCTTACTTCAGTTTCTTAATTTTTAAAATGTTCATCTATTCTGTGAGTCTTTGAAAACCTTCTCAAGATTTTTAGAAGGCAGCAGTAACAACTGATACACAATGGCTTTTCAAGTTACAATAAAAAACTGCATCAACACTCATCATTGCTGGACTCCTTAGATATGACTCTGAAACATATTCTTTAACTTGCTATTCCTATCTGTACATGAAGCAAAAACCTCTCTGTCATGTCACTTGATGGACACTACTCTGAAAATTACACAGTAATTAAAGGTGTATTATCAATTAACAATTTTTAAAAGTGCAAGGATCCTATCAAGTTGGTCCTGCCTATATTGATGTGCATGCTTGATTCTGATAAGTCCCCAAGACACTATTTAGAGAATATTAAAACTCTTCCATCAGTCCCTTACTGTTAGTGTCATACATTTGATACTGTAGAGGTTCCTAGTTTTTCTAACGCTATTGGAGTGACAGTATCTTACCAAGTGGAAGTTTTATGGCACTAAAAAACAAGTGTATAAATTACCTTTTGTCATTAAGAGAATACAACTGGCTAATGAATAAATGTGCTCAATTCCAGTTCTTTCAGTGGAAAAAATACTTTATGTCCAGTTCCTGAGAACTTGGATTGATACCTCCTTGAACATCTCCTTTAAAAAGAGTAACTTGGGGAGGTAAAAAGAATTAAGATGCGTTTGATGCAGACATGCCAGTTCTCCACAATGACTACCAATTATGCAAATATATACAAATTTCAAAAATTAAAATTCCTGATTTTAAGGAAGTGCCCCCAAACTCAGCTTCCTTAATATTAGCCTTGAATGTCTTTTGAGTGTTTATTGGAGTTGCACTTTAATTAAAAGAAAATAGAAAGACCAGCTCTGTTGCTCTTCATTGCAGTGTGGAGACGATCAATGATGGAAACTTTCACATTGTGGAGCTGCTGGCCTTGGATCAGAGCTTGTCCCTCTCAGTGGATGGAGGCAGCCCCAAAATCATCACCAACTTGTCAAAGCAGTCCACCCTGAATTTCGACTCCCCACTTTATGTAGGAGGTAAGTTTTCTTCTAAACTCAGTGGATAACCAAACCCTGCAGTGATTCTCATTATAGACTAATGCTAAGTTATTGATGCTATGGCATCATTGTCATTGGCCAGGAATGATCTGTCACAAAAAGCAGGCATCAGGAAAAGAACACAGAGAGTACCAGGTAGGTGATAGGGAAACTTTCGTCATCCAGATTCCAACTAAAGATGTCATTGGAATAGAGAAGATCAGGCAGTGTTTCCTCATGTATAGCACATTCTGCTTGATTTACCCATCATATCACTGAATTCCATATTTATTTGATCTGTTGAAAAAGAAAATTTGTCAGTGATCAAACCAGACAAGAAAATTATGCAACAAGCTAATGCAAATGGGGCAGTAGGTGATGCCACCCCAGTCCCCTTGATGAAGCAAAACCTAACTCACTCAAATATCATCTAATTGGAGTTCCCACACCACCAGATGCTCACTCATGAAGATAATAGGGTGATTATCAGTGAAATCCAAGTGAATAACAAGATTCATGGAGCTACAAAAGAAATCTGCATAGCAAAGTCCTTAAAGTTAATGCACAATAGAGGAGATTGCAAGTAGAGTTTAAGTCTGGGAATAATGGACTGAAGATGCTTGGTTTTGTTTGAGTAAGTAGATGAGAGAAAGAAGTATGAGGAAAGCTTTTAAGGATTCCAGAAGAAAAGTCCTACAAGAAATGAAAAACCCACTCTTGTCTCCATAGATATAGAAAATAGATGATGTCAAATTGAGAGACATGTAGTTGTTACATTGAGTTGAAAAATTGATTCATTTTATAAATAATCAGAAGTTCTAAACAGGTCAGTGCACCTGATTTTATTATTATGACATTTATTTTCATAAAACTCACATGATTCCTTGCAAAAAATAATGGTAGGATGCTAGCTTATTATCTTAATCCTCCAAAACCTTTGCTGAAGGTATTCTTTAGAATTGTCCTCTAAGCCCAGGATGCTTCTATTTTCACTAATTTCAATATTAGGAAATTGTAACACATTGATAGAGTTAGAATATTTAGAAATAGCTCAAATGTTCCTGTCAATAGGTATGGAATAGCTATCATAAGCTAGGAAGTGATATAATGACTTCCTAAAGAATCCCAAGAAAACCATAAATGGTTCCTCTGTTCCAGGAAATTAAAGAACACAGGTGCGTCTTCCAGTAACCATACATAGTGCATTGTGATTGAAGTTTCATGCTGAGTCTGCTCTGCAATTTGGTGTATCTGATTGCTTTATGGAAATCACAACTGAAACTCATTTAAAAAAATGGAAAACTTCAGTTTTCTATGTACTTCAGTTAACAGGGCTGCTTTGGTGTGGGTGAAAGAAGTCCCATTGAACTTGTGTTTAGGAAGAAAATAAATCCTATTTATTGAGCATATGTTATGTGACCAACACAGTGCCTCTTTTACAATATTAACCCTCGAGGATCTTAAAAAACAAGCCATATTTTCTGTTTTATGATCCCAAGGAGACTGCCTCGGGGACTTTGTAACTGTTCTTCAAGTTCTCAAGACTATTTATTTGTGTTAGTAGCAGATACCTTATTTAAGTTTAAGTCCGTCTGACTCCAAAACCACCTGCTACCATTCACCTCTTAATAAACAGCAAAAAGCAAATAAATGTTAGTTATGTGGCTTTTAGTTGTTTATTTCTGGGCTTGTGCTTCCCTTGATGTTCTAATGCTTTCATTAGAAACCATTTGTTTTAAACCCCCCTTAAAAGATGATGCAAAAACCTAAAAATACAGGATGAGATTGTTTAGGTCAGAATATTTATTTTAAACAGTAAAAACATAGTTTTAAATGTCAAAATGGAAAGTGCTAATGCTTTTGAGGATCGAGGGCTTGGAAGAATCGAAATAGTACACCTGTGTACCCAGGTCTGAAGGAAGTCACTTTCGGGCCTCACTGAGGGGCGTACCCTGGGCCCTCTGCCTTCTAGCTCACAGAGCTGTGTGGTCTCAGGGGTAATTAAGATTTTAAAATTACAAGGAATCTGTGAGACCACGACCTTAAATGCCCCATTGCAGAGGCATGACAGGCTGAGCCAGCAAAGGGAAGTGTGGCAAACAAGGCCAGTTTAAAACCATGGTCACCTCGAGGAAACCTTCCGGAAGCTGCTGCATCGTGGGCCTCGGCCCTTGCAGGTGTAGTCTCAGGTGGATGGACCATAGCTCAACCCATGTTGGGGCATTAGTCATCCATGATACACTGTTTAGATAGCATAAGACACAACTTAATCATTGTGTTTTTCTGTGTAACAGTCCAACCATGACATTCGTTACCTATTGTGGGTTTAAACTGGAGTAAGATGCACACAGACATAGAGATCTGGCCATAAATTACAGATCTTCTCCTGGTGCTGGTATTAACTCAGGGTTGATACTTGTTTTTGTGTGTGTGTCATTTTGTTGCCTGTAGATTCTTTTAAGGCTCTAAACTATCTATCTACCTGTTGGCTCATTGCAGTTTTTCTATAATCCATAGCTTATAGAAAGGGCTTTTTCAAAAATCACGGATCTACTTTCAATTTTCAGTGAAGATGTAGTTTGCTAACCAAGCACATGAAAGGTTGATTCTAACAGTTCTTGGCTGGGAGTGCAGTTCGGTGATAAAACACATGCTTAGTACTGAAAGCATGAACAGGCATGAGGCCGTGGTTCAACCCTCAACATCAAAAAGAATTAAAATTTCAAAGAACTCAAATATTTATTTCCCAGTTGTATGTGTCCTGTTGAAAATCCAGTAGGTATACCATGCACAAAACATTTTCATTTACAAATTACCGTCATCAAAACTAGACATTTATAACTGCGTGCTTGGGTACTGTAAAGAACACTTTCACTAATTGTTTCCCTCTGCTGTGGAACTTTGAGTTTAGTCTTGGCATCTACACATACGGGCATTGTACCTGCATCAGCATGAAGTAGTTTTAGTAGTATTTGAAGTAGTTTTAGGAGAAGTTCATTTTTAACCTCTGAAGAGTCTACCATGCACATGTGAATGTTAAGCCCACAGGTTTATGATGATGAACGAGTATGATTCAGTTAGTACGACTTACCCAGAGAAAAGAATTTCTTGTCACTCATCTCTTCCTGGAAATACGCTGTAGTAACCCATTTTCAAAGACCAGATAGACACATGCCTAAAAGGCTGTACTTAAGAGAACTTCAAAGCCAAGATATATAATTTAGCACTTGTCCAAATGTGACCATGGACCACCTATGTTGGAATCAACTATACTGCATTTTGGCATTTAGTTTTCTGTGCCTGTCTGCTCTCCTACAGGATAAGAACTTCGGGGTGGGGAGAGACCTGGGAAGCTGACTTTTGAGCACACACCCCAGGTGGTCCTTATGTATGACACGCTTGCACACAATTACTGCAGTCTATCTGCTCATGATAGAACTCTAAGCCCCAGAGAAGGGAAATGACTGGCTCAGATATGCTTAACACCAAAATTAAAGACTTGACCTCTTGCCTGGTGCTTTTGTTCACATAGCTGCCTGATTTTGTTGCTTGCAAAGATTGAAATGATGTTCCCTTGTTAAGACAGAAGACAATGCACAAGTCGGGCCCTGAATGCTATGGTCATCAATGTCTGTAACTAGAGAGGCCCCCAGAAGGTGCCTGGGCTACCACCCCAAGTCCTCTAGCCAGTGGGTCAGAGTCAAGGAGCAGCTGGAGCATGAGCACAAGGGTCATCCTCTCTGATGGCCACCAATGACCTGGATGATTGCTTCCTATAGGCAACGCCATCCAGGAACTATTTTAGTGTCTGGCTCAGGCCATGGAAACACTCTTCGGTTCTGCCAAAATGAGAGATACCAGATGTTTGCTGCTAATGGAATGTGAGCACTAGCTCTCACTTCTTGGAATTTGTTCAACTGAACCTTGGCTGGAAGACTAGGGAGGTTCCTGTCATCAGTCTGGTAACCTGACCTTGCTGGGTGACATTCAGCATGCCTACCATGTTTTGTCAGTCTGAGACCTTTCTCTTTAAAGCAAAGGGCAGAGTTAAGAGACTACAAACTGTGCTTTTTTGAGCTCTAGGCATCCCAAGGTGTGTGTGGTATGGAATGAGGGAGCCATCAAGCATAGAAACTAATCTCCCTCCTCCGACAGGTTTGTATTTAAGCAGAGTAGTTCTGCTTGCAGGCTTTTTGCTTGTAAGTATCTGTGCAAAGTTTTATTTGAAAGAAATTTAAAAATTAAATATTGACTGCCAGTAAACTTGGCTTCATATTCTTCATGTGCATTAGAAATTCCTGGAACTTCATCCAAAACAAACAAACACATCTCTCTTTCCATCCCAGAACCCTCTAACCCAAGATATCTGATTTGGTGGGGCTAAGTGAGTTCTCAAGCATCAGTATTTCTGGGCTGCAAATGGCTGAGGACTCCCTCCCTACACAGGCTGATCTGTCCCATGCTGCCCCTCTCCAGGCATGCCTGGGAAGAACAATGTGGCGTCCCTACGCCAGGCTCCAGGAAAGAATGGTACCAGCTTCCACGGCTGCATCCGGAACCTTTACATCAACAGTGAGCTGCAGGACTTCCGGAAGGTACCCATGCAGACAGGCATTCTGCCCGGCTGCGAACCATGCCACAAGAAGGTGTGCGCGCATGGTACATGCCAGCCAGGCAGACAGTCAGGCTTCACCTGCGAGTGTGAAGAAGGATGGATGGGGCCCCTCTGTGACCAACGGACCAATGACCCTTGTCTTGGAAATAAGTAAGTTTGTTCTCCTTGAATACAGGTGCTGAACACTCACAGTAAAATCTAGCAAAAGGTGGGAGGCAGATAGGAGGAGGAAAGGAGGGAAAGAAACCAGCCCATCACCACTCTGCACCTCATCTTATCTCTTCTGAATGTACATCCATTCCTTTGTGCTTCCACCCTCTAGATGCGTACATGGCACCTGCCTGCCAATCAATGCATTCTCCTATAGCTGTAAGTGCCTGGAGGGCCATGGAGGAGTCCTTTGTGATGAAGAGGAGGATCTGTTCAACCCCTGCCAGACGATCAAGTGCAAGCACGGAAAGTGCAGGCTCTCAGGACTGGGGCAGCCCTACTGTGAATGCAGCAGCGGGTACACTGGGGGCAGCTGTGATCGAGGTAAGCCAGTCTAGCCCTCCTGCTCCGGGCACAGTAAGAGGGGTGCGCCAGCACTGCTCAAAGAGCAAGGGTGAAAGAAACAGACAGAGGAGCACCGAGGAAAATTCCAAGTCTGTGTTAGTTGCAGTTGTCCCTGTTGTATTTTTAAGTGCTAAGAAGGTACCAGATGCGTAAGATCCTAAACTCCCACAGTAAGATTTTACAGGGCCCCGAGAGAGCTTGTCCCAACTTGATTTGCTGTGAAAATTCTGCTTTTTACCTTTCATTGGAAGCACATTGCTTTTACTTACCTGCTGCCCTTACCTGTTGGTCTCATCTACAACTATTATTTATTCTACTTCTGGCCCAAAGAGGATGCCACTATAATTCTACTCCAGTTTTTGTACACAATCACCCTTGACCTTAGAATGGATGGATTTATCAAAGCAAATTAGGCAGGTGAGGGGATGGAAGGAGGCTGACTTTTGGCCCAACTCTCCCTTCCCCGTCTCCACGGTAAGGATCTTCCTTGCCTCCAGCTGGCACGGACTTTGTTTTGTGCATCAGAGGAACATGCCCCCAGAAGCTTTCAGCAGATGTCTCTTTTTTTGAACTACTTCATAGGAGGGTAATTTATGAAGTTAGTGGAATGTTACTTGTATTAAGTAGCAGATTGGATAATATGAAACTCCGGGTTTAATAAATTAAATTGCATTCTCTCTGCAACTACTCCCCATGGCAAACAAAACCAGCTGTTAGTAGTGTAAAAACAGAAGATGTGTATTTTGTCCCTTTTTGCAATAAAGGAAAAGATTTAAGAATCCAATTTTCTTGTCAATGCAATCGCATGGTATTTCCAGTCTGTACAGAGGGCATTCACTTTGCTGGAAATAAAAGCCCAAAATGAGTATGTCCCAAGGAACAGTAGACCATCCCACCAGCCCAAATTAGGTTATATAACCCTAAAAACTGCATTTTCTTCGATCCCCGGTACCAAAAAAAAAAAAAAAAAACTGCATTTACCGAAGGGAGAGAAGCAGAGACAGCGCCCACACAATTGAGATGTGGATTCACTCAGGGTCACTTTTGCGCATGACTGACAGTGCCTGTCCTTAAAACGCTTCTTCTTTTTTTGTTTGTTTGTTTGTTTGTTTGTTTGTTTTTCAGAAATCTCTTGCCAAGGGGAACGGATAAGAGATTATTTCCAAAAGCAGCAGGGCTATGCCGCCTGCCAAACCACCAAGAAGGTCTCTCGCTTAGAATGTAAAGGGGGTTGCGCGGGAGGGCAGTGCTGCGGGCCGCTGCGGAGCAAGCGGCGGAAATACTCTTTCAAGTGCACGGACGGGTCTTCCTTTGCAGACGAGGTTGAGAAGGTGGTGAAGTGCGGCTGTACAAGGTGTGCATCCTAAAAGCCCGTCGCTGCTGCTCCCACCTTGGCCTCGGGCAGAGTTTGTACAGTATCCTTCTTGACCAGGTTGAACTGATTCAGGCTTCATAGTGGAAATATTTGAAATATATTGTAAAATACAGAACAGACTTATTTTTATTATGAGAATAAAGACTTTTTTTCTGCATTTGGAAAAATAAATAAATAATAAAATAAAAGACGTGCTTGAACTGAAGCTTCCCTCATGCTGGAGAAGTGTGCAGAGAGCTACAGTTCCAGGCGTCAGAGCCACGACGCGGACCACTGGGACAGGATCCAGCTTGAAACAGGCTGGAGATGAGCAGAAGCACATTCAGTACTCCAGAGGCTGTCCCTGGTCCACACCCATGCAGTCCACCAGGACACTTGAAGCACACGCGTGTGAATGAGTCTGCCAGGCTAAAGAATGGAACTCCAGAATGCACAGAAAAAAGAAATGCATGAGAAGAGGTTCGTGCAAAATACAAAGGACACTGAAGATGTGGACTTCATTCTCGAGAGGAAACAAGAAGTGGCGTGCTATGATATATTTTACTTGCTTTTTAAACATCAGCATGTCAGCAGAAGCCGCACACAAAAGTGATTATCTACCCTTTTCCAGTATTAATTTTTGTAATATAAATGATAAAGGAGATGATAAAGAACCAATAGATTATTGATAAATAAATTAGTAATAATATGAATTTTTGTTTCTATGAGTTCTAAACAGCCCTATACAGTATTCACTTTCAACGAGGAATATTTATTGTATCAAAGTACGTTGTACTTAACGTTTTAGACCATTCTTTTGCTGTTTCTCGATGCTTTAATATATATTAATTTATAATTATCCTGATATTTTTGTACATTTTTCAAACTTAAAAAAATCAGGATTTTTTTTTTTTTTTTGCAATAGTACTAACATAGGATGTTATCTCCGGATAAATATGTGTTGGTCTGTTTGACCTTGACAAATGACCACTAGTGTCACTGCCTTACTGGTGGGCACATGCAGAGCACCTGCAGAGGGTATGGGAAGTCCAAGGGGAGAAGAGGCACCTCTGCGTGTGAGGCTGTTCTTGCACGGAGAGAAGCAGCCCTTCCACAGCTTGTGCCCGCAGCAGAGAGATGGTGTATAACCAGCGGCACTAGGTGTAGCTCTTACCAATTAATATTTTCTTCATGGGTTCTGCCATTTTACTGGGGGTGGGAGGCTGGGAGAAAAGAAGACTACCGTGTCCAAAATTGTAAGGTTTCCCCAAATGATAAAACTTACTACCTTAATGTTTCTGTATTAACCTATTTGCTGCCAAATTATGATGTAGAATTGACAATGATTTATAGTGGACTGTGCTTTACCCTTATTAAATTACCAGGGTGCCCTGTAAAGATGCAGATGTTTCTCCCTCTGTCCCTCCAAGAAAAAAAAAAAAAAGATTTTACGAAGAGAATTAGATGTACATGTATAATTCAGTGTGCTTTGTCTTTCTCTAGACTGATATCAGTTACACTACTGATGTTTGTAGATTAAACAGCTATTTACTTCATTAACAGCTTGTTGGTTTTCTTAGAAATTACACAGTAAACACTCTAAGAACTTGTCAATCAGTGTGACTCAGAAAGAACCAAGAAGACAATTTAAACCTTATTACCAGAAATTGATTTGAAATTAGCATAGAGTCACAACTGGGGATTTTTTTTTTATTTAAAGAGAAAAAAAGAAAGGACATAAAAAAACAAAGCAGTAAAAGGGTACAAATAATACAGTATTTCAAGAAAAAAGTATACAGTAAGAAATCACGAGTCAATAGGTTACATATTATCTTGCCAGGAACAGTTGTCCAAATTACAAAATTAAAGCATATAAAGGGGACATTCATACAGTGAAATTGGAGACAGTTCCATTCAATGATCTAACAAAAGCTCAGTAATACGGTTTTCCATCCTACACACTCGAACGTGCCTGCCGTTATATCCCTTAGTCCACTTTCCTTTCCTCTCTTTTTTACAATAACAGACTTTTTGGGTTTTATTACTCCCACGGTTCTTATTACTTTTTTTGAAGAGAATAAAACCATGTGACTAAGCAAAACAGAGTCAGTTAGAAGGGTGGGCACAGTACATGATGCAAAAGTAGAATACCAGGTGATCAAAAGTGGTTACCATTGTGCCTTTTGCTATTTTTAAATTGAGTTGTCTATATCATCAGGTATAATAGAATTGATCAAAACAGTACAGAAAAAGACCAAAAAACCTACACTGAAGAACTTGCAGGACTTCAAAAAAAGGATAATAGTCAAACCATAATGGGCATCATAGTATATGTTATTGCCTTCAGAGTGGTTGCCTATACTCTAAAACTTGATACTATCAAACAAAATAGAATATAGAATAATCAGAACAAGATGGGGAGAGCAATACTGGGGTTCAAATCAGGTTAATAGGAAAACCAAGAAAGTTACTATATAATATGTCCCACTATTTTTAATTTAGTTTGCCCTTAATTAAAAAAGAGAGAAAATAGGTTAATTTAATAAAGGGGGGAGATTGAGATAAGAGAGGACACTGCAACAGAACAATGCAGGGCAGAACCGAACCATGACATTATTGTGTTTCACCACCAGATAATCTAATATAATAGTAGTCGCCATAGTGCCTCTTTCCTTGAATTATTTGAGTGTAACTTCATATGCTGTAACATCAAGCATATCAAGACAGTGTGAAGCCACTCAAGAGAATGCAAGAATTACAGGGTATTTAAAACCAGCTAATAGAAAATAAACAATTCTTTATTATCTCTTTGCCTATAAAGAATTTTGTTTATACTATAGCATATAGTGAAATATAGTAAGATACAACATGTTAAAACCAGTGGAAACAAATGTACCACTGCTTGATGGGACTTCAAAACAAAATGATATTAAATCAGCATTAGCTTTTATGTTATGTTGTTTTCTTCAAAATAGCTATATTTGTACGATCATAGATACTAAAATCGGACAACCCAGGTTAAAACCATTGCGGTTAATGAGTGAAAACATTATATGGCTTCAAACCAATATGATTGGGAATCATGATTAAGACATACTTTTATGTATTCTTATCATTTCTTACACTAGGGAAACTAAGGTATTTATACATGTGAGTTTGATTTATTTCACTTATGAGTATAGTCTCAAGCTGTGTCCATTTATTTATAAGTGTCTCAATGTGATCATTCTTTATAGCTGAGTAGTACTCCATTGTATAAAAACACAACTTTTTTATCCATTCTTCAGTTGATGGACACTTAGGTTGTTTCCAAGATCTGGCTATTACAAATTGTGCTGCTATAAACATGGGTGTACATATATCACTGTGGTATGATGCTTTCAGTTCTTCTGGAAATATGCCTAGAAGTGGTATAGCTGGGTCAAATGGAGCTTCCAGTCCCAGTTTTCTGAGAAATCTCCAGACTGACCTCCACAATGGTTGCACTAGTCTACACTCCCACCAACAGTGCAGGAGAGTTCCTTTTTCCCCACAGCCTCTCCAGCATTTGTTGTTGTTGGTTTTCTTGATCTTGGCCATTCTTTCAGGAGTGAGATGAAATCTCAGTGTGGTTTTAATTTGCATTTCTCTAATGACTAATAATGATGAACATTTTTTCATGTATTTATTTGCCATTTGTATTTCTTCATCAGAGAATTGTTTATTCATCTCAGATACCCACTTTTGGATGGGGTCTTTGAATTTTGGGGGTGTGATTTTTTTTTAATTCTTTATATGTTTTAGACAGGAGTCCTTAAAGGGGCAGTTCACTAAGATTTTTTGCCGGTTTGTGGGTTTTCTTTTCACTATGCTGGAGATTTGTTTTGACGTGCAGAAACTTTTTAATAAGAGGTGATCCCAGTTATTGATTCTGGGAGGTATTTCCCGTGCTGTTTGAGTCCTATTCATGAATTCTCTACCTACTCCTATATCTTCAAGGTTTTTACCCAATTTGTCTTCCAATAGATTAAGTGTTTCTGTTTTAACATTTAGATCTTTGATCCACTTAGATTTCATTTTAGTACATGGCGATAGGCATGGGTCTAGTTTTAGTTTTCAGCATATGGAGAGCCAATTTTTCCAGCACCATTTATTAAAGAGACTGTCGTTCTCCCAGTGAACGTTTGGCCCCTTTATCAAAGATAAGGTGGTTGAGTGTGTTTGTAGTTGTGGTTGTATCTTCTAATCTATTCCACTGATCTTCAGCTCTGTTTTGGTTCCAGTACCATGTTGATTTTACTACTGTTGCTTTGTAGTATAACTTCAAGTCAGGGATTGTGATATCTCCTGCCTTGCCTTTGCTGCTTAGAACTGTCCTTGCTATTCTAGGTCTCTTCTTGCTCCAGATGAATTTGAGGAGTGATTTCTTGAGTTCTGTGAGGTATGTTGATGGTATTTTTATTGGGATTGCATTGAATCTGTATAAAAGTTTTGGGAGAATGGCCATATTCACAATATTTATTCTTCCTATCCATGAGCAAGGGATGCCTTTCCATTTTCTGAAATCATCTTTAATTTCATTTTTCAGTATATTATAATTTTCCTTGTACAGGTTTTTTCACTTTCGTGAGAGTAATTCCTAGATATTTCATTTTTTTTGGTTACTAGTGTGAAGGGTGTGGCTTCTCTTATTTCTCTCTCTGTGACTTTGTTGTTAGTGTATAGGAATGCTATTGATTTTTGAGTATTGATTTTATGTCCAGCTACATTACTGAATTTATTATATCTAGCAGTCTTTCAATGGAGTTTTGGGGATCTTCTATATAGAGTATCATGTCATCTGCAAATAATGATAGCTTAACTTCTTCTTTTCCTATCTTTACACCTTTTATTTCTCTCTCTTGTCTAATTGCTCTGGCTAGTATTTCCAGCACTATATTAAATAGGAGTGGTGATAAGGGACATCCTTGTCTTGTGCCTGATTTACTTTAGTAAATTACTTTAGTAAAGGCCTTCAATTTTTGGCCGTTTAGTATGATATTGGCTCTTGGTTTGTCATAGACAGCCTTTATTATGTTGAGGTAAAGACCGTCTATTCCAATTTTCTGCAAGGTTCTTATTGACCTTGTCAAAAGCTTTTTCTGCATCTATAGAAATGATCATGTGGTTCTTACTTTTGGCTCTATTGGTATGGTGTATTACATTTATTGATTTACATGTATTGAACCATCCCTGCATGCCTGGGATAAATCCCACTTGGTCATAGTGTATGATCTTCTTGATGATTTGCTGCATCCTATTTGCCAATATTTTATTGAGGATTTTTGCATCTGTGTTCATTAGGGAGATTGGTCTGTAGTTCTCTTTTTCAGTTGGGTCCTTTTCAGGTTTTGGTACTAGGGTAATATTTGCTTCTAGGAACAATTTAAGAAAGATTGCTTCCCTTTCAATTTCATTGAAGAGTTTGAGGAGTGTTGGCGTTAGGTCTTTGTATTTCTTGTAGAATTCTGCAGTGAATCCGTCTGGGCCTGGGCTCTTCTTTGTAGGTAAGGATTTAATTACATTTTCAATTTCATTAATAGAAATTGGGTCAGCAGTTTTACATCTTCATGACCTAGCTTTGGTACTTCGTATGCTTCTAGGAATCTGTCCATTTCCTCTGTGTTACCAAACCTTTGAGAGTAGGTGTTTTCGAAATAGATGTTGATGATTTTCTGTGTTCCTATAGGGTCTGTAGTGATTTCTCCTCTTTCATTCCTTATTGCATGAATTTGAGCTTTTCCTTCCCTTTTTTTTTTAATAAGGTTGGCTAGGGGCTTGTCAATTTTATTTATTCTTTCAAAGAACCATTTTTGATTCGTTGATTCTTTGGATTGTTTTCTTAGTCTCTATTGCGTTGATTTATGCTCTGATTTTTATAATTTCCTCTCTTCTTTTGGCTTTGAGCTTGACTTGCTCTTCTTTTTCTAGCTGTTTGAGCTGTAGCATCAGGTTATTTATTCATATTCGTTCTGTTTTCCTGATGTGGGAACTCAGTGCAATAAATTTTCCTCTGAGGACGGCTTTCATTGCATCCCACAGACTCCGGTAAATAACTGGGGATTTTTGAATAGCTACGTAAAAGGGATTTATCTTGCTAGAAAAACTGTAGATATTCAGTTAATCACACACACACACACACACACACACACACACACACACACATGATCTCTGGGATAAAATCTAGCTAAGGACATTGTTTTTGACATTACTTTCTTCCCCTCACTTAGAACCCAACTATCCTGACCTGATAACCACTAATATCTGAAAAACAACATTGGCTAAGTAGATTATTAGTAATACTTGGGCACTATGATAAGATTTTTTCCTTTCTCTTCAAAGAAAAAAACCACTTACATACACACACAAACATACTTTCTCACAGACGTGGCTATCTGATCACGTATTCTTCCTCATTCATCTATATTGTATGAATATTATATAACCATTCATATCCTCTCATTAGCTGCTTTCTTCACAGCTTTGAATCATTCATTAAACAAAGACATATATGTAAGGAGTATGATTTAAATTTGTGTTTA